ATACTAAGAAAAATATTCTACTTTAGAATATAAAATTAAAACCCTATGTTGTCATTCCAAAAAGTAAAAAACTTAAAAAATTATAAGGACAAAAAATAATTAAAAATATAATTTTTTAATAAAAACGTTGTTTTATAAGCGACTTGAAACTATGTAAAAAAATATTTTCAAAAAAATTTACACTTTTTGAAATAATGAGTGTTGTTTGATAAAAGAATCACCCAGTATAAGCTGTAAAAGTTAGGTGTACCGTGTATGCTGCTTAACGAGGAAGGATGCAGGAATAAGACTATATGAGACTCTTGCCACTTTGAGTAAACTTCATTTTTATATTTTGTAATTATTAGTTGTAATATTTTTCAAATTTAATATTTTTGTAATAAATTATACAATATAAATGAAATATTATGTAATTGGAATTTTATTTCCAACTATTATTTCACAGAGATATTCTAATTTTGATATTTGTACCAAGTAGGTACTTATAGATATAGGTACCTACGCTACCTATTAATTATTTACAATTGTTTACTTTGTAAACATATCTTAATAACTAATGACGTTTGGCCGTTTGGGTGATATACAAATTAATTTTGGGTACCTACCTACTCATTTTCATAATTAGCAAAAATTAAAACTTCCTATTATTAGTATTATAGCCTATAGGTTGACGACTAAATATTATGGAAAAATGAACCAATTATTTTGCGTAGTGTACAACAGCAAAATCCCATACACTAGGTATCAGTATTTTGAAATTAAATTATAATAGATACAGCATAATGAAGAATGACGACCAGTTTCCTAAACAACAATGCCGTAAATATAGATTATGACTTATGAGTACCTAAGTATTAACTGCTAAGTAAAACCACCGTACCTATATGAATAATTAAGATTTAAGACATAGGTACCAGTGTACCACGAATTGTCGCAATTGTGATCAAGGCGTTTTTTCTAAGCATCGATTATATTAATTAATTCCTATTGCGGCAGTATCGTTTTCTTACGAGTAGGTACAAGTTTCTAGATAAATAAATATTGGTAGGTACCTTGCTATAACTACCTAGTTACGCAATTTCTTTGTTTCACCATATTCTGATCAGTGATAAAGTATTGTTTGTGATACGTTTTCTTTCATATTGTTAGGGAATGTAAAAAATATTTATGAATTAATGTGCATACAATGGGGAGGGTTTTTTTTATGGGTTCACTCAATAAGTTTCTGTTAGATTCCGAGAGGAGCGATGAATGTATGATTTTACAATGGCGTTGGAAATTTTACAAATTTTTTTTTTTAAATTTTTATTTGTGATATTTAAGATAAATAGTCGAAATATTGCTTCGATTTTCAACTATAGTATCTTGTTCAATGGGAAAGTGAATCTAGTTGGTGTATTCGTGAGGTCAACATTTAAAGTTCCCAGTAATTTTCAAAAGCGTAGGGAAAAATAAAAAAATCAAGAATAAACGGAAATTGAAAAAAATTGAAATTGAAATCTGTTTTTGACAAAATTAATTTTAATTTTTTATGTACTAATGTACCTAACTCAGAATTCTAAAACAAATGAAAGTAGATCCATGACATTTTTACTAAATGTTTATATTAGAATTTTCTAATCCAATGCAACACCATGCAATTCTCAAAATATTATGACTTGATTTGAGCTTTTTACAGAAATTCAAATTTTCAACTTTTTTTCAATTAATACATAGGTACCTTATTATACCTATGTAATATGTTTGATTGTTTGACACTCGTCTTCACTGTTCGACCTTACGAGTGTACCTATTCGGCGTTAGTAAGATTATTTTTAAAGTTAATTTCAAGGTAAAGCTATTATAAAAATGAAAAGAAATAATTCTAATCAATCGAAATTGGTGTCGAAAACTTAAAAAAAAAGCTTTAATTACTACACCGGACAACAATACAACATTAAAAATACCTACCATGGAAAAATAAAGATAAGTTTCTTCATCAGAGGGAAACTATTTAACTTAAACTATCCGATAGTTACAACTCACAATCTCAACTACCTATCATGACATTAGTTTTAATTTAAATAACTGCATTGCTATTGATGGCGCTAAAAAGTATAAATTGTTAAAGCACCCATGGATTCCAGTACGACTGGATTCCACCTATATGTAATAATTGTAATAATTTATGAATCTTCTACTACACAAAATCGACATTTAAAATGGCAAACTGATTGGTAGGTATAGGCGATATGCGTGGTTTGTTTATTCCAAACATGTAAAATGTATAGAAGGTGTATTGTGTACAATTTGCATATTGTGTTCAAATGATTTTGCTGGTAAAGATTCATATAAAAAATTAGGAGCTCTAATTAAAGTACCTATAACAAAATGGAAAAACGCAGTCGAACGTTTTAACCAACATTCAAAAAGTGAATACCTATCATAAGATCTCCACTGTACGGTTCGACGATTTTATAAAAATAATAAAAAATAAAAAAAATTCCATCGTGAATTAAATTGATTCTACAGGTAAAAAACAAGTGCTATAAGTGCCTTTTTACAATACTAGGTACAATAAACTTTATTAATATTAATACTTTACTATACTAACATATCCTGTAACGACTGTTACTGCAGAGCGATCGTTTTTAACATTTCGGAGACTGAAAACTTTTTAGGAAATAATATTGGAGAAGTCCAACTCCGTGAAGGATATTTATAGAATTTATGAAATCGATATTGATTTAAATCATTTGCAAGACTATCTCGAAATTTAGATTTTATATTATAAAAATACATGTTTTTATATTACCTACAAAGTAATGTTTTAAAATATTGAAGTTTTTAATGAGTAATTAATAAGTAATCCTTAAATTGAAATTGTGTAAGCTTCTGGTTAGGTTAGGTTATAATAGTATGATGTAAGTAATGCATAATATAACTAACATTAGTACATTACGTTCTTACTTCTTAGTTCTAAGTTCTAATGTAATAAAAATATTTATTTTGTGATAATTCAAATTACATATTGAATATTATAACCCAGAATAAAGCCAACAAGGAAGATAACTACCCCTACTTCCATGCGCCCTACAAACACTTTTGTAATGACCATTATATATTATATAAATTATAAAATCTAATTAGACTATCCAATTTAAATTAAAATTTGAATAATTATTAATTTATCTATTAAATAGGTACTAGTTCACCACCATAGAAGGTATAGGTACACTTTTTTTTTTATGGCATCACTACATGGGGGCACTACATCTGGTTTTACACATGGCTATTAACCCCCATGCAGCATCGTTTATTAAAAATCAATTTATACTAATATTATACTACATATTGCTTTGTACAACTTTGATATGCCCTCATCGGCCGGGATCTACTTTCCTCAGCAGCACTGGTATATAATATACATCAGTGTTTCCCAACCGGTGGTCCGCGGTACTTTTCTTAGTTTTCTATTAAAAATTATTTTTTTTTTTTAAACAGCGAAAAATATTTTATTTTACCGTAATATACGGTTATCTTATCGTATACAAAAATCACACTAAGTAAATTATTAGTAAAGTTTAATAATTATATATAATAGTACAGTAAAATAATAAAAATTTTCCAATAAATTTTTGTGTATTCTTGTTAATGAGCAAAAAAAAAAAAAAGGTCTTCGTAGTTTGCGTAAAATTGAGGTGGTCCGCGACCTATAAAATATTGTCAAAGTGGTCGTGGTGGTAAAAAGGTTGGGAAACACTGATATACATAGACAACAGAGTCACAGACATTTGTATTTACAGTCTTATCGGGCCAACCTAAGTCCACTAAGCTAGACATTGTGTCTATTTATTTGTTTTTATTGAAATATCTGTATTAATACTATTTGTTTTGATATTACCATATTATTAATGTCTACAATTTAACAATTATTGAATTAAATGCTAATATTATCATAAAATTATAACTTTTCTAATAAATGTTAAGCGTTTTATCGTTTGGGAATGGATTCTCATAAGTTGCTCATATTAGGTAACAATTAATAAATATCTAAAATACAGTCACAGTACTAACCCATTAGTATCGCAAATCTCATCTACTCAACCCATAAATCCCATCCATAGGCTCAAAAGAAAATATTGCAGGATTTGTTAATCTAAAATAAATTCACGTTGGGTTCCATCACTGGTTGGCCTCCCTCTTCATATTATTCAAAGTTAAACATGTACATAAATTATCCAATTTACTTATTGTGATGTCAAACACAGATTGTAAATATCTAATAATAATAAAAAAAAAAAAACTATGGTCATTAGCATAGGGCGGTTACGGTTGGTCGGGGAACACGTGTAAGTGGGATGAGGATTTTTCACTAAAAACCCAGGTGTTCAATCATCCGGGAACCCAGCGACTCTTGCCGGTGCTTGACCTCAGAATACCAGACCCCTATTTAAATAATTGTTGTGCTTATATTCAGAAATCTATATTTGTATACATAGCACATACATATGTCTATATAGTTTCTAAAAATTAAATTCTACAAAAGTTTTGGGTAGACTAATAGATCAATTTAAAATCTATTTATTCAATAATTTTTTACTTGTTCAGTATAATATGAAACATACATTAAAAATTTAAGAATGACACAATATTAGACACTTTTTGCTACAAAACCCTCAGTCACATTTGTTTCCCATTTCCAATTAATAGAAGCAATAAATAAGCACCTTTTTGTAGTCTAATTTGTTGTAGACTATTATCTGAAGAGAAAGGCATAAACTAAAACAAATTATACTTTTTCTTACAAATAAAAAAATATATAGTATATTTATGTAGGTGATTTTAATTTTAATATATTATATAATACAAATTTTTTAACAGATAAATGATGAATAATTAAGTTTAGAATAAAAATCACTAATGTTTATTTCCAATTAAAAACAAAATAACAGTACCTAGTTAATCTTACTTATTACTAAATAAATATTAAGAGGTTAAAGTTAACAAGTTTAATATCTTCACCATAATATATCTTTAAACCAGGATAGCGCAGTATTTGCTTCTTCTAAAAAATAACATTAAAAAATAATATAAATTAAACAAAAAATTCATAAAAATATGTTAGCTATCAACAAAAAAAAAAAGAAGAAGAAAAACCCATCATGTTAATAGACCAAAAGTAAGAAAAAGTTAGATTTTGTATTTTTTTAAAAATCACTTAAGATAAAGCACATGATTAGCATACATTGGTATAAAAATATCAAATCCAATATGTTGATTTTATAAAAAGAATAAAAGATAACCTCGACCAAGAACGCAACTTAAAAATCTAAAATACTAAATAAAATACTTATAAAAGCAAAATAAAATGTGTATTAAACATGGTATGAATTGATTTAATAAGAGGCGTAGCTTCATACTAAGACCTAAGACATTAAAAAGTTGGCAACACTCTGCTGTAAATTAGGTGTCTATAGAGTAGTCACTGAAATGAATGTGTTCAATTTGAATTCAATTATATAAAATCATAGTATACGAAAAACGATTCTGAGCGAAGATGGTATAATTTTACTAAATATATTATTTTATGATATTATTGTGGTTACCTAAATTAATGAATTATTCTATTAGTACTACAGTAGATTATTTAATTTTTACCAACAACTTTAAAATGTCATGTGTTTACAATATAGTAATATACTTTAAAAAATTCAAATACCCACAAATAATATTTTTAAATTACAACAAAATAACCAAAATTGTTATTCTTTGTTTAAATATCTAATTTCGTTCAAATTTGAACTTAAAATGTCCATAAAAGATTACCAAAACTCAAAGTACTAACCAGATTCACTTTCATACAAGAAAAGTTACTGAAGAAGAAAATTGGAGAATTTTTACTGCTCAAAAGGTGGTTACAGACACACACAAAAAAAAAAAAAATCAACACTCGTAATTGTAAAATCAATACATTCATTGCTTCGCTCAGAATCTAAATATAAAAGCATACGCCTAAATCATCATAACTATGATAATACAATGGAATAGTAAGCAATGTTAAAATAGTAAAATATACATTTTCTTAAAAAAAATTTTTTTACCTGTAGTTTGATGTGAATTAGCTCCTGGGGTAATAGAATTATCTTGATGGTTATGGAGTTGCATTTGAGACATATGTCTCTGTTCTTGATCACTAAACAACTCAGCATCTCTTCTATACTCTAAACTATGCAATTCTTCTAGTCTAAAATTAAAATTAATAAATAAGTAATATGGTTAATAAAAAGTGAGCAAGTAGGTAACAGCTCTGCTGTACAGAAGTACAGTAAGTATCAAGTGTATCTTGTCATTGAGATCTGTGTTAAATTTTAATTCAATACAAAATTATTGCATAAGAAAAGAAAAAACAATTCTAAGCGGTTATGGTCTGCCAGCTCTAGTAGCTCTAGTTGTGCAGTCGAGGTATAGTGTTTATTGGGTTCTGCCTACTAATTATTTATCAATATATTATTTCTATAGTTTAACTTACTTATACATCACTAAAATGTCTATTTAAAATAGTAATAATTGTAATAAACGTAACATTTTATTTGCCAAACTCCAATTAAATGTGATAGCTGCAACCTATTGATTCACAGTTTCACATTTTTTAAGTGTTTTGGTTTTACTAAAAATGAACTTAAATATTTTACTTTGAAAATATTTTTGTGATGCATGTTAACAGTTTACGTGATATTTATGGATTGTAATATCTTTTTACATACATATATAATATCTTATATAAAATATATAAATTACATTAAAAAATCTAAAATACAAAAGTTAATTTATTAATTATCATTCAAGTTTACAATTGATACAGATGTCTTTAAATTTACCAGCAATAGATTGTGAATACAATTATTATAATTATTATTCTATATACAAGAAAAATAAAACTGACAGTTCCAAAACTGTTACTTTTTACTTTTTAGTATAAAAGTTAGGAATTGAATTTTCAGCGAAGAAAGTAAATTGATTAATTAAAAATGGAGATATATTTTATAAGCTCCATTGATCATCCACAAATTTTAAAATATTTGAGAACGTTTAATAGTTTTCTAATAAAATACTTTACTTATCATCCATGGTTTTCAAATCAAAATTTTCTCCTGGCAAATTTGATGTACCCGATTGCGGCTTATTGTTAGACAAGAATTGAATTTGTCTAATAGAGTTAGATAGTTTCAATTGCAGCATATCACGTTCTTCTAATAACTATAAAATAATATAAAAATATTAAACCGAAACATTGAATTGGTATAAAATCAACTTTTCAATTAATTACCCGGGTTAATTCTAAAGTTAATTCGTCACATCGAACATCTCTCTCGTGAACGGCTGTTAATGCTCTGTCAAGTTTGTCTCGAACTAATCTTATATCATCAACATTTCGATTTAAATTATCTAATTTTGATATTTTAACTGAAAGAAATTCAATTAATCGATCACGCTCAGCAATGGACCGCTGTAGCTGTTCGTTTTCTCCACTTCTTAACAAGGAAGATTGTGTTGCTTCTTCACTTGAATTTAAAGATTCATTTATTGATGACTTTTCAGGGGGAAATGAATTACTATCTTCAACTACATGATCTTGAGATAATTCTGTACAAAGTTTGTTGGTGGATTTATTATTTTTAAAAGATATTAATTCTAATAATGTATCTGAGCACAATTTTAAGTCTGACATTAAATCAACTAGTACATTACTTGAAGAAATTTCAATACTGGATGTATTGGTTAAAATAGAAGAAACTAATTCATGAATAGTTTGAACACAATTTTGTAATTGTTTAACTTTCGACTCTTCTAAATTAAAACCATCAATACTGTCAGAAGATCTAGCATCGACTATTTTATCTAATTTTTTGGATTGAACAACTACCCAGTCAGAATCATTTTCAATTGGCGGCCATTCGCAGAACACTCTTGAATAAGCTGAATCAATTAAACGTTGAGTTTCATTCAATTTTCCTTTTAGAACTATATTTTGGTCGCTAATGTGAACAGAAGTTGTATCTGTATCATTTAAAGGATTCTGGTCATCCAAATTACTTTTAAGTTGATCATAATCATTTTGCAATATTTCATGTTTTTCCTTTAGTGCCGTCAATTGACGATAGGCTTCAAGTTTTTCACTCATGAGATTTTCAATTTCTGACTGACAATGGATTATATCTGCTTCATGAGTTTCATTTTCATTGGCATATTGGTCATTTAATTGCTTATACTTAGAATTTGCACATTCCAAATCATTTGTCAAGTTGAAAATTTTTTTTTCCAAGTCAATGGTTTTAGCACGATTTTCTTTGAATCGAGATTTTAAATTTTTGTAACGAACTAGTAAAATCTTTGTATCACCATTTTCTGCCAAAGTGGACATTTCAGAATTATGTAATTGCTTCAAACATACATCTTCAGACACTTTTTTCTTACCTTCATCGTTTTCTTCAAAGTTTTCTATAGTTTGAACCGATGCATTTTGTGTGTTTAAATTTGAATATTTATCAGTTTGCAATTCAGTAGATTGTTTCAAAGAAATCAATCTCTGATGTTCATCAATCTGATTTTTTAACAATTTATTTTCATTTTTTATTTCCTGTACATGAAACTCAAGTGTACTTAAATAGTTCAGTAACTCTCCATCATCTATCTCATCAATAATAGCTAAACCCAAATCTTCTTGGATATTTTTCAAAAATTGTTTTAATGTATCGTTTTCATGCTTTATACTTTGTATATCTACATTTTCTAAAGATACTAGACTGTTTGCTGCAAGACCATTTAAATCTGTTAACACTTCTTTATTTTCTAGAGTGCCAGAAGACATATTTAATTTTAATGTATAATTATCATTTTGTAAGTTTTCTATTAATTGGAGCAATTCATTTATTTGTTTTTGATATTCATTTTGTGTGGATAATTTAACCTTTTCTACAGCTTCAGATACAAATTTTTCAACTTCAGTGCGGTCAATTGATTGTGCCTTGGAACGCTTTTGAGAATCATTTAAATTTACAATGTATTCTAAAATATTAATGGAACCAAAAACCATTTTTTTAATACAAATTTGCAGTTCATTATCATCTAGAATGGTGTTATTGCAAATTGAATCGATGACTTCAAATAAATCAACATTGACGTCAACCCCAAAATTGTCAAAAGTCAATAATGATGCCAAACCCATCAAAACACAACGAAGTGTATTTATGTTTTGATTTTGTAAATTTGATTTGATTACAATTGTATTTAATAAATCATAACACTTTTGAAGTTCTGCATCACAGTTTCGTACGACAGTACTTATTTGTTTTTTACTTTGAATAACATATGCTAATCTCTGATTCAAAACATTTATTTCTTTATTTAAAGAGGCAACTTGCTGCTGTAAAAGTGAACAATTGCTTTCAGATTCTTTTAAGGCTTTGATTTTTACTTTCAGTAGTTGTTTTTGTTTTTGGTATCGATCCGATAATAATTTATTATCTTCCATCGCAAAATTGGTTCCATTTAATTTGTCTGAAAGCATACTATTCTCTTTTTTAACCAATTCCAACTCATTAGTTAATTGTGTAGATAATGTATGAAATTCTGTAATAGCATTATTCAGTTGAAATAATTCTGCATCTTTTTTACTAAGACAATCATCAAACTCTAAACGTTCACATTTAAATGAGTTGTTTTCTTTTAAAACAATGTTTAATTGATAAGTTAATTCATTTACCGATGTAATGCTATCTTTAAGTTTATTATTACAAGTTGTAATTAAAGCTTGATCATCTTCATGTTGTCGAATAAAATGTTTTTTATTTTGTTCGTACTCATTTGAAGATTCTTTCATAGCTTTTTCAAATGTTTCACGCATGTTTTCTATAACTGCCATTAAGTCAGAAATGCGTTCTTGATGTGAGCCATTGTCAGCCTTTAATAACTTTAAATTTTCTATAGATTTTTCATATTGCTCAGTTAATTTAATATTAGCATCATTCAACTCATTATTATTCATTTTTAATTCATCAATTACTTTTTCCAAAAGAGTCATACGGTCTTTATCATTGAGGTATGCATCTTTTAACTGAATCCAACGATTTTCTATCTGCTGAGCATCTAATACTTGATTTTGAAGTTGTTTGTTTAATTTTTCGTTTTCAAGATTCAAACGTTGAATTTCTGATTCTTTTTCTGCAAAAAAAAAAAAAATAAAGTAGTTTAATAATTATTTTTACTTTTTCCAAGTTATTTGAAATCACATACATTTAATTTAACTAACAAAATAATACTTAATTTCAATGAATATAATATTATATGGAATAAAAAACATAGCTACTGGGGAATATAGAAATAAATTAGTAGTAAATAATAGAAATAAGTATAGTAAAGGTTCAAATATCACAGGAAGGGAGCTTGTTTTTATACACTAATAATATTGTAAGGCTGTTTTTTTTTTGTTTATAAACAGTTTTAGCAGAATATAGTGTACTCCATGAGTATACTATCTTGATGGCGACAATGCAAACTTTTTGCAACACTTGCAAAACACTTTTGCAATATTTGCAACATTTTTTATGTAATCAGCTTTTTGTAATTTGGGCATAAGAGAAGTCATTCTGTATCGATTGCTCTTCCTCATTTATCGATAGAACTTTTTTTTACGATATAAAATAGAAATTTAGTTATATAGACATAATTGCCAAAAAGTGTAAATTAATTAACAGGTATGTATATAAATAGGGAATAAGCGACATTTAGTTTTAAATGTTAGCATAAGCGCCATAGGATTTTACTTTATTGGCCTAAGCGACAACATCAATGTTATAGTTAATAATAGATTTTATATAAAAATAACTATTTTCTGTTATCTGTTCGGTTGACAATAAATAATAATAATAAAATAATAATAAAAATAGTACATCGTAATCTTAAAAATGCAATATTGTATCAAGTTATTAATATTTTATTCCAAAGAGAATATTTATTTACGTTTTTATTAAAATAACATGCCATTTATTTATGATTAATAATTATAAATTATAATATTATTATCAATGAAAATTAACTATGAATTATGATGGACTATTTGTTTTTATAATAATTATTAATTTTGCGAGCGAATATTCACACAATAAGAAGAAAAATTAATAGGACATAAGCACCAAAATACTAGTACTAAAATTATAGGTAAGGGAATGAATGGGGCATAAGCACCAAATTATATAATAATAGCCAATTCTAACTGATATAAATGTTTAACTAAAAAAATGGAAGAACCATTGTCTTAAATAGAGTACAACTCATCTTTTTTGTTCTTATCATATTTTTTTAAATTAAAAATATAATTATTGTTAAAAAATAGTTTTTTGGCTCTCCGGAATAATTTTAAAAATGTCGCTTATGCTCTTTTGCATTGTCGCCATAAAGTATTCCTTTTGTTAAATTTACCATTAAAATTATTTTTAAATTAATATTCTATTCAACAGTTAGAAGACCGCTTCCTGCTTTCCACTCCTCCTAATATTTTCCATAGAAATAATATATTTGTGAAATAACTGAAAACACTTCTGGGATATTTTAACCAAGGTAAAATAACTTGGTATGATGGCAACAATCTGAAATATCGTCGGGACTTGAGCACATCATTGTATCCAGTTTGCCTCATAATGCACTATGCCACTATGTATAAATAATAATCATGACAGTCATGAAAAGTGGCAAACTAGATGATGATGGTCGGGGAGTAATAAGTAGGTGTATCATTAAATTGCCATCATACTATGTTATTTTATCTACATTGTTTATTTATTAAATATTTCAATACCATAATTTTAATTTCTTTTTCCTATTTTGATGAATTTTAAAAACACTGGAAAATACTTTAAAAATTTGTAGGCATAAAGAAGAGTTTTTACTCAAATAATTATTCAAAAATTAAATTAAGAAAAATTTCTACATTTTTTTGTATTTTCAATATGTTCTTAAAATGCAGAGTTTCAAAATCATCAAACTTACACTGTTAAATATCAAATGTATTAGAAGTTAGTTAAACTATTTTTTAGCTATTAATTAAGTTTTATACTTGAAAATTGTATATAATATTTACTGTCGAGTTCCGTTAATAAATTATCATTTTCTTGAAAATGCATTGACTTGCTTTCTAACATAGCTACATGGCTTGATAATAAATCATTTTCCTGTTGTAAGCTCAGCAATTCTTTTTCCATATCTAATACATACGTATAAAAACAATATGAGAAATTACATATTATGACATTATATCAAAATACAACTTACCACCAATAAGATGTTTTGAATTTTCTTGATTGCGTTGTAGAATCGATTTTTTCTAAAACAGTGTTTTATATTAGACTTATTAATACTTATATCGGATGATCATCTTTTAAATTGTTTTTAATTAATACTAATTGATTAGTTGACTTTATTTATAATGTTACTTGATATGTTTGATTTTCTCTGTTAATGGGACTATAAAATGCCATACTTATTATGATTACATTATTACGTCATGGTAGAATACAGTGTTTCCCAACCCATGGGTCGTAAAATAATTATGATGGGTTGCTTATCTTAAACTAATTATATTAAAAAATTAATAAAAAAAATAATCTATATATCCATCTCAGTATTTATTCTTCAATGTTGCATTACAAGAATTTACGCTAGTAACCAATACAAAATATGATTTAAAAAAGGCACTGAGCAATCATAAAAAAAATTGTTTACTTTAACATATGTAGTGGATATGTAGAAAAAATTTCAATGTGACATACTTTTATAAACCAAATATTAATTGTCCAAAATAACTAAATAATTAAAATAGTATTGGTTTTTAACAACAATTATTAATAATCAACAAATATAAAAACATTCTATTTCCCAGTTCATCTGTTCAAGAACTTTAATATCACACGAGCCATATATTTTATTTCTGGTTATTACAAAATATTACAAGAGCTCCTAAAAATAAAAATTTGAATTTTAGTCTTAAACTAAAATTAATATACAGTTACATTTTAAAGAAACATAATTATTTAGAATACTAACGTACTTGGGATATTTTTTAAAAGTGTACCATAACATTTATATTAGATAAAGTTAAAATAATTTTTCCAAATAAGAATGTAAAAATAGTGAAAATCTTTGTTTACACTTAAATAAATACCAATCGAAGAAAATAAATAAAAATTAGTATGAATATAAAAGTAAGTATGTAGTGTTTTCCAGCACATTCAATAATATTATTGTGTTCAAACTAACTTAAATTGAAGTGCTAGGGCTACTTAATTAAATTAAATTAATATCCATTAGTTATTCACCAAACAACAACTATTTACTCACTTCGTTCTCATAGCTTATACTTAATTCTTCAATTTCTGATGTCAAATTCATTTCTTTTTTTCTTAGTTCAGTGTTTTCTTTACCAATTTTAATATTTTTTTTTTTTAATTTATCACAGAGTCTTTGGACATCCTCTAAGCTAAATAAAAATTAAATAATATTGGTATGTGAATAATGAACTTATTAATTGTAAAGTAAATTTATTTTTTGTACTAACTTATTTTTTAATTCTTCTGATTCTTCTGCAATATGATTAATCTTTTGAGTACACCTTGAACGTTCTTCATTTATGACTTCAATATTTCTTTTTTTTAATGCTTCCACCGTTTCTAAATGTGATTTTTTGTTTTGCACTATAGCTTTGTTTAATGACTCAATTTTCTCAATTTTTAATTGTAATAACATATCTTTTTCAGTAATATTATTCTATTTTTATAAACAAAAATACAAATAAGTAGGAAATTAACTAAAATTATAAAATGTACATTTTATAATTTTTAATTTACGTATATTAAATATTATATAAGCACACTTACACGATAATTTTCAAGTTTTTCATTCAATTCAACAATTTGACTTTTTAAAGATTGTATATTTTTTTCATGAAATTGCGCTGATATAATATCTTCCTATAATATAAGAATGTTCTCTATTAAAGTTTAATATGATAACAGAAGAAAGAAACATATTAAAATAAATTATATTTATTTATTAGGTTTAAGTTATAAATCTATTGTGTGGCTTAAAACCAATAAATGGTTGTTTTTCAAATCCATTATAATTTATAATTACTGATTTCATAACTGAAAACTGAATTGAAAAAAAAATGATTTATGCAATGACTTATTATGTTAGGTATAATAAAAATAGCTGTTGGCTATATTTGGATTTGTTTTATATACTAATAAAATAATAAATTATATTATATTATATAAGTTATAATAAGATTTTATTGGATTTTATTTTCAAGAAAATAATTATTGAATTTACTTGTGATTGATTGTAAGATTGATCTTGTTCATTTATTATTATTATTAAGTAACTAACTACAGAATCGAACACACCACAGGAAATACGTACAAAAAAATATATCACATGAAGAGTTTGTAAAAAACAAAATTATTCAGGTTTCGGGTTAACCTGAATATTTTTATTAGGATTTTGGTTAATACGGGTGTTTTAAAAAAGGAATCATTCAGGATATATCGGGTATTTGATTTTTAAGGGTGTTTAGGGGTGTAAAGGATTCGAGTTAATTCGGGTGCAAGGCCCTGATAAAAAGTAAAGGAAAATAGTAAAAACCAGAAAAGTTAAATTAATTACTGGTTCAAATGACTATTTGGGTTTTTTCCAGAACGCCCCTAACCTAAATATTATAAGATATAACTTCAAATTCTAATTAATTAAATATAAAACTAATGTTAGACTACTAAAATATTTAACATGTAAGAAAACTCACATAATATGTCGCATTAGGTTTTCCTTTTTCATGTTGTTGCACATCTAACAAATTAACATCATTGGCTTGATCATCATTACTATATTTTTGCTCATCAATTTTACTATTCTCGACTAACTTTCTGTAATAAAAATTAATAAATTTACTATAGTATAATACATTTAAAAATGAAAACCGAGTAGGTCACTTTAATGTATAAAACATATTGAGTGTACAATGTATATTGTATGTTGAACTATTTTTTTCCAAAACCATAAGAATAAGAACCATAACAATAAGTAGTTATTATAGTATTATACTATTATAACATTAATTATTGTTAATAACTTATAAGTCAACACCAACATAGTTTAGAATAGCATTAATAAGTTCATTGAATAAATAGATTAAATTAGTCTTAATATGTTGAATAATTTATTGGGTAAAATTACAAATAACATTACATCAAATAGAGAAAAATTTCAAAATAATGGGATTCCGCTCCCTATATTCAAAGCTGACATGCAATATGATGTTCACTAAATTTATATTTGACGCATTTTCTACCCATTCTCAGGTTGGTGTAATTTATTTAGATTTCTCAAAAGTCTTTGATAGGGTAAAAAGTATAGGGATAAAGTATTGCTAAACGTCTTATTACACGCTGGCTTTGTGAACCAATATCATGGTTTAACTCTTACTTATCTAAAAGGTAAAAGTTCATGGAATAAGATCTTGGGCCACTGATGTCTCTTCTGGTGTCCCACAATGGGGAAATCTTTCTCTCAGGCTCTTCTCATTATTTATAAACGGCATAAAATATGTTATAAATGAAAGCAAATTTCTATTGTTTGTGAATGACCTGAAGCTGTGTATAAAAGTTATCTCTATCGATGATTGTATTAGTCTGAATAATCATTTTAATGCAACTGTATAATGAACTTCAACTATTGGTTTGTCAATTTTTATCCAAAAATGCATCTATTTTTTTTTTGTGAGATGCGGATGAATTAGTTATAGTTATTTCTTGGAGCATATACAGGGTAAGTTTTTTTACTTTGCTGTGCATGCATTAAAAATTGAGTATCAACCACATGATTATTCTTCAGTTCTTTTTACTCCACAATTATTTTCATTGGCGGATAGCCGAGTACCAGCTAATTTAAATTTTCTTTCTAATAATATACTCTCAGGTAAAATTGTGTCCTCAAATCTCCTCTCTTGCATTGCAACCATGCATTAATTGCATGAAACATTTATTTGAGATTATAAGATTATAATTATAGGTAAGATACCTATACTTAATTAGATTTAATAGATTTTTTTTTCCCCTCAAATAAATTAAATCCTTAATTAAATTAAAATAAATATAATATTAAATAATTATCAATCATACCTGTCATTCTCTAAAAATTGTCGGAATAACAAAATTTTTTCACTCGTATCAGAAATAATACTATTACTTTGTATAGACTCTATACTTTCTGCTGAAGTGAGTGGCAGAGGTGTGTTACACCGACTAGAAGATGTGTATCTCCCATGGTATTTTTCAATTCGTTTAGCAATTTCCTAAAATTAAAACAATAATCTATTAATTTAAGTACCTAGAATAAATCATAATCATAAATAAAAATTATAAAATGTTGGTTATAAACATGATTTTAACCCTGAAACTGCTTTAGACGTACTTATTTTATAATAATAATTTTTATTTATATTTATAATTTTATAATAATCAGTATAAAACCGTTGAAAAATTGCCATAAAGGTGTTCTTTTTAATTAGTTTGACATTGCCAATATTTATGTAAAAATTTGTATTCTTATTTTTACTTGCGTTTATCAGATAATACAATGATTGCTGGTTTCTTTTTGGCTTGCCCCCCCCCCCCCCATTTAAAAATCCTTGCTATATCACTGTGCGTAGCTAAGAACAATATGGCCATTAATATGAACATTTAAATATATTTGTTGATAATAATAACTTTATACAAATACTTATTTTACTTGTATCTTTTATTTATAAATGCTATGGTTATATGTACTTTTACAACATGTTATAAATGTATAATATAAATAAACTTATTATGTACCTATATTAAGCTTAATTTAGCATTTATTTAATTTAGCATTATATATTATGTGAAGTTCAATTTGTAAATGATAAAATCCTAATTTTAAAATCTAACTCAAAACCACAAAAGATACTCAATCAAATCTTTCATGATATATGAACAAGATAAACTCATTTTTGTAGTAATTAATAATTAGGGGTTGCGTCTCAAAATTTAAAGATAGAACAAAATATAACAATAAATCTTAAAGCATGCACCATAGGTACCTCGATAGATACTATGCCTTAAATTTATAGAAAATAGCAGCAAAAACTTTATATTTCTACTATTAATAATTATTTATAACTTTTAATTTATAAGGTATAATCAATTTTAGATTTAAATTGTTACACATAATAAATAAATAAATGAATAATCTTGAATTAAATTGATCTTCAAAGCAATTAAAAATAATCTGAAAAACAAATTTGTAATATTTTCACTTATTTTTCTACCTATGTAATTTCCCTCATTAAACGAAAATTTATAAAATAACAAATAATTAATCTTATTTTACAAGCAAATTATCAAAATTAACGCCAAACTGGAAACATAGCACTAAAAATCGAAATTGCTTGAAGTATACAAAAATATGTAACATAAAATACTATAGTTTTTAAACTTTAGATATAAAACAAATTATGTTTAGCACAGTCTGATATTTTTATCTATAATCTATATAATTAGCAATTGCTATAGAATCCAAGCTTTGCTAATGATATTACAACAGTAATAGGTTAGGTACTAAAAATACATTTTACAAGTAAAGTGTCTGAAAAATAATATAAACAACCCATTTGATTGTTATCTATGATACGTCAAATCATATTGTAATATTAGTTATAATACATAATAAATATTATTTTAAAATTATTATAATATTTTATATATACGTAATGTTAATAATGCATAATAATGTAGAAAATAATAAAATTGTTGTGTAAATTTATGTACCTAAATAGATTAGATAATCAGATAACGGTATGCGATTTATTTGTTTAAGTATTGCCTATACTATTATTGAATGTTTTACAAGATAATAATATTATATTTTTATATATTATTATATCTACATTTATGTATTTACCTATTCAAAATTTAATTAAATATAAAAATATTTGTAAGACTGTATATTATGTTGTATAGAAACGTGCGGTAGATATAAGACAAGAATACCACTAATATTTACTATATTATTCCACCATAGTTCAATAAAATATAAACTATGACATTTACTGATTAAATAACAGTATAAGTAATACAAAATCATTTATAAAATTGTTTGAAAATGTGTTATTTATATTTCAAATAATGTGGAAGAATCTGTAAAAGTCTAAAATGAAACAGAAAAAAATTATTAAGTGACTGTCAAGAAATGGAAACTGAGAAACTAAAAGGGAACATGAATCAACAAAAATTACAAGAAAACAAATAATATATCTTCATTTTTGGAAATGAAATGTGAAGTGATATATGAATTAAAAATTCTGTGTGTTGACATAGGTACCTAATTACTTTTAACATTTTATTTTATGAAATATTAATTAAGTAAATTCAATAAATTATAGAATTATAAATTATAAATAAATAGAAGTCTTTAAAATATTTAAAATACTGAAAAAAATATTTAGAAATAACAAGAATATTTTGTTTTTAAGGGCGTCGATGCTGGTTTTTCTAATTTTTAAATTCTATTTTATATTTTAGTAATACTTTAATTTTAATACTTCTCTACTAATCTATACCTAAATACCTGTTTAGGAGGGAGTGGGGTTGATACGGTGTATTATATCAACAAAAATAACTTAAGAAAATAACTCTCACTGTTGAGTAGTCGGATTTTGTTTGATATTTAGAAGATGAGTACATTTTTGAATTTTATTATTCTGGTCGGATCAAATCAGCTGAATTTTAATTTTACTTATAATAGTGGTGGAAAATTTGTTTGAAAAAGAACAAATATTGTGTATTATCCATATTTTAGCTTCTATAATTTTAATTTTTAAAATCGGGCTTTGACCCAACCTACAAATATTCTCTTCTATAAAATAAAAAAAATTAACTAATTAATCCGACTATTCTACAGAGTGTCAGCTTTTCCTGTTAGAAATGTTTTTTACTAAAAAACGCACCGGCTTCAACGCTCTTAAGTTTATTGTCATTTAATTGAAATTTATAATAGAATAGTTAAATAATTAAGATTCTTATAATACATTTTTTGTATTACCTATAATTCAATTTAAACATTATCATTTATTTTTTACTTTAAGTAATTTTTAATTTTTATTTATATAATTAGTTGTACAATAAACTGTACCTATCTCAAACTATTTATTATTTTATTAAATTTATATTATTTCTGGGAAATTTTTAAAAAGAACACCATTAAACTTACAAATTACAATTAATTATTAAACTTTAAACATATTCTATAAAACAATATACAATTAGTAATATACACTATACACCCTACAGCACTAACAATGAGTAACAATGTCTACATAATCTTAACATTGAGTGAATTTTGGTAATATTATGACTTCCTGAAGGGATAATATTGTATTCAAATTTATGGACCATTTGCATATTATTCAGTGTGTATATTTAAGTTATTCCAACCTTTAATATAAATTATTGGAAAATATTGGTAAATATTATATGCAATATAAAAACTAGATTTTTGTGATTAGATATTGTAGACATAAAATTAAATTAGTATAAACTAAAGATAATTCAAAAGAAAATTACTAAAAATTCCAAGAGTAGATTTTGCTTAATGTAATTATTACACTTATGTACAAGTATTTTGATTTCATTAAAAAGTGGATTTTATTTTAATAAACTTTGATATTTAAAGTACAAGTTTGGGTTTTAAGAAAGCGATTGTACTAGACTGTTGACTTTATTAACCACGGGTTAAAATAAGTAGTATTCATTATAGTATATCCTACATGGTATCGTGATCATAATCTACATAAAAATTATTTAAATAATTAAATAAAACTAACTTGAGCCTTAAGTTTTATCTGGTTTGTTGTTAACTCCCCATCATTATCATCACTATTATCTGAGCTTTTCTGTTCCATATTGGCAAGGCTTCTTGATGTGTTGGTTTTCTGTCTTGTAATTTATTCCAAAATAAAATTTACTCTATGACAGCTAAATGTATTGCAGAATAAGAATTGGAAATAGCTATAATTTTTTAAGTAAATCATAATGAAAAATACTGCATTAAAATAAAAATGTAAAAATTCACTGTCCAGACCTAAAAGTATTGCCGATTTTAAATACTAATAGTTACAAATTGTGTGAATATTATAACACTAAAAATGCAAAACACAATGTTTTCAGAATTACGACAATATTATGGGTACCTAGGTAAAAGGTGTTATAAATTATAAATTATAATACTAATCAATGTTTTAGAGGCACGTCATAACACGACATAAGTACGAATAACAATTATTGTGTAGGTCTAAATTCTCCAAACATTTGATTACTGATTGTGAAAATGATAAGCCTCAAAAACACCACGAGATCATTTTTTTTAAAATTGTTATTGATAATAATATAATGATAATACATGGTAATCAGCCGCTCTCTACAACGACAATGATTATGATTGGTTGTTAATTATTTACCAGTTCGTATTTTCGTAAAATTATCGGTAAAATTGTACCTTAAAAGTTAAAACATTATGTAACTATTAGCTAATAAGTAATAATAATTAAATTATCAGAAATAAGAATCATACTAATTTATTTTGTTCCCTGTTTGGTAATAGCTTAAATTAATCTATAGTTTAACGACATACAATTATAAAACACTGATTAAAAAATTTGAATAAAAAGGTATATTCAGTATTGCAGTTCTAATCAAAATATGTGTTACGTAATCGATGTTTTTGTCTAATAATCTCGTGAAATTCGGTACTTAGTTATTATTATTTTATTTCTTGACTTTTGTATAAGTATATAAAATGGAAGAAATTGATGCAATAATATTTTGTACTCTAAAAGAGATTGGCTGGTGAGTTTTTTGTACTTAATTTAAATTTTAGATAAGTTAAAATTAATTATATTTTTATATAGTATATTAATTATAATATATATTTTATTATTGGTAAAATGTAGATATATATCATACATTACATTTTATACGGTAGGGACATTTTTTTAAGTATACAATTTTTAGCTAGTACCGAGGTAGGTACTTATTAGTATTTACTGGGTAGCGGTTACATCTTAAAATGGTTTTTTCAACAGCTTTTGATTGTATTCTTGTAAGTACCTACCTACCTACTCTTTAAAAAGTCAGGAAGTTGGAAAACAGAGTGTGTCAAGAATATTGTATGTGGCTTACAAACATTTTTATTTTCGGTTCCTAAATGTACCTAATATAGGTATCTTGGGATTGCCCTTTAAAACTAAAACAAAAATTTATTTTAGTATAATTATAAGTTTTGTTATGAGTAAAAAGGGCAATCCCAAGTTATCTATATTAGGTACATTTTTTAATAATATTCTTTGTAAAGTGACAATATTACTTCTTTTTTTTAATATCACTAAATCTTAATTTTGTATTGTTTTTCTCAGTGTAACCTTCTCCCATAACACTTTACTGATTGATTGATCCATATATAGAAGGAATTAATGTTATTTTCACAAGGTTTTAGAACCTTAAAGAATTAAGAAAAAGTTGATAAGTTTATTGTATTGTGTTCACTAGTATTAAAAATGTTTACTTTTGGTAATATAATTATAAGCTGAAATAATGTGGCTTATAAGAAGCTGCAGAAATTACAATGTATATAATATTTTTAAATACTAATTTTTTTTTTTTAGTGAATTCTCAGAAAATGAAACTGCTTTTACAAATATAGCTCAAGAAAATTTAATAAAAGCTATAATAATGTGTTTACAAAAAATTCAGCCAACAATAAACTTATCTTTTACAATTCCTCGATCTATGTCTGCTAGATACCAATATGGTATCACTGTAGCAGATGCTTGTAAGGTAAGAATACAATTTTTTTAATATTTATAAATCAACCAAACTAATAAAACTATTTATACACTTTTATTATTTCTATCTACATATATTTACAAACGCTATAATAATAGTAATTAATATAGTATCATAGTCATCATAGATGTAGAATGGTGTGGTTTAAACCTTAAGGGGGCTATAGTCCCACTGGAATTTTGTTTAGCCCCACCCCCCAATTTCTAAACTTTTTTTAGTTACCTTTTCAGAATATAATATGTTTTGTACCAGAAATATTATAGGCTATAATAATAATAGGCCCCATTCATCATGTTACGCCTATGATAGTCATCTTAAATTACTTTCAATTGTGGTTTCAGCCTTTACCATTTACTTGTTCGTTGTTCATTTTTATTTTACTTTAATAAATGCCTTCAAACTGGATGTATTTGTGTGTACAGTGCACACGTAATAATATGTTGTTTATAGACTTCTTAAAATGTAGTAGGTACTGTGGATCAATGGCGCCAAACATGGGGTACAGTCGCCCGACTAATTTTTTTGGATGGTGGGTGGTTGTTGCCGTTTACCGTGGTGTATGGGTACCTACTAAGTAGTATAATAATTTTGGAAACATGCCACAGAGTAACACATCAGTCTAGTCTAGTTCCATTGTCAACAGCAGGTTAATAATTAAAAGATACATTTTAATTGATTTTAGATTTAACAATTACTCAGATAAATACATTTAAAGACAATTTGGAAATGATGAAATATTTAGCTTTTGCTTTCTATTGACATACTCAATGCAATTTTGTAGTGGGAAAGTGAATCTTGTTGGTACATTCGAAAGATCAAAATTTTAGTTCATTGTAGTTTTAAAATGTGTAAGGGAAAAAAGTGGGTTTACTGTAATGGAATGTATTAAATTTTAATTAAATTAGGTTCAGATTGCGGATAGGCTGAATCCCCCACACCCAAAGGCCTTAGCTGGTACTTAAAATATTTCAAACTTTACCTTAATTTTCAGTTTTTTGGATAAAATAAAGATAGGTTATAGAGGAGCAATACTAAACTTAACACATTATATTATACTGCTTATTGCCATTTAGGAGTGATTAATATCGTACATTTTTTCATCTAGCCACCCACCCTTTTCATTTCTAGAGCCTGATTTGAGTGAATTCAATGATATAAATGATCATTGTATAGTGTTCATATTTTTAAATTTCAACAAAATAACTAAGACCGTTATTATTCATTTCAATGTCTAATTTCGTTTAAAATTATACTTAAAATAGCACTAAAAATTTAAAATTCAAATGCTCATACAAAATTAGTTTGACTTTCCGGTGTACATTATTTTTTGTTAGAAGGTAGAAAGTTTTTGAAGAATCTTGTATTGAATTTTCAATTCTTATGTATAAATATAAAAAACTGAAACAGTCCGTAAACAGCTCAATACAAGTCAAAATATTTTGAAAATTGTGTAGTGTATACAAAATACTATTATAAACTTTCCATAAAAATTTAATTTATATACAGTCATTTGTTTTAGAGTTACACCAAAAACCAAAATCGATTTTGTTGAAAACTAATTTTGAGTAAAAATTCCCGTTTTTCCTTAATTTTTATTTTGTTTTTCCCTACGCTTTTGAAAACTATTGGGAATTTTTAATTTTGACCTCTCGAATGCACCAACTATATTTACCTTCCCAAGGTACAAGATACTGTTGAAGAAAATCGAAGCAGTTGTACTGTTCCAAACAGTAAAGACAGAAACAAAAAAAAATTAAAAACACAGCAATATAGTTATCGGTCCGCTCAGAATCTAAAATTTGTTTGAATTTCTAACTCAAAATAATTTGAAAGTTTTCGTGATTTTGACAAATTTTGTCAAAATTCTTACTTCGGACGCTCATAAAAAAAATATTGAGGATTTACGCATGTGTTTTGACGGAGAGAAACAGAAAATATCTTGAAGTTGAAAATCGAAGCATTATTTTGACTACTAATCGTGTGTATACATACATAAAAAAAAACATCTGTGTAAAATCAATATATTCAACAATCCACTCAGAATACAAAATTAAGGACAATTTTACCTAAAACCTGTTTTGGAAAAAATCAATTTTGTTTTTTTTGGTGTAACTCAAAAAAGTATAACTGTAGGTACGTGATTAATTTATCGAACGTTATCACTTTTCAGCAATAAATTTCCATTCACCATACAATTATAAGCTATTTATATGCATAAGATATTTTTTTTCTCAGTTAAAATTTATCACTATAAAAAACTTGAATATTTAATATAAAGTTACTGCCTAGCTTGTAATTAAAAAAAGAAAGTTGAGCGTAAATTCACAATAGTCTTTTTGAGTTAATAACTCAAAAACGCTCAACCTATATAATATTATATATATAATATATAGCATAAATATATATATAGATATTTAACATTTTCACCAAATACCTATTTATATTAGATTTCTCTATATATCGTATAATTTAAAAAACATTTTGATTCTATTTGAATTATCTATTTTCAATTTTTTTTAGCTTGAAAATGTAAAAATGAAAATACAAAGTTCTTCATAAGTTGTTATAATAATAATTCAAAAATATTAAGGCTATCACAACTATTTATTTTTATAAGCATTTGGAGTTCAAATTTTAATAAAATTCATTAAAATCACGAATATTTGCAAATTATTTTTACATATAATCTATAGAATTTATAAAAATTTATAATTAGGGGGTGGTGTGGAGGGCAAGGCCCCCCACACGTCTGCTTGAAAGTTTTTAGCGGTACATGGTGCCGTGGTGTAAGTTTAAAACCGATTTTGAATACTTTAAAAAATCGTAATTAATATCAATAATTGAATAACTTTTTTTTTTTTTTTTATTGAACAAAAATGTAAATTTACAATCTGTATTTACATGTTAATAAATTGGTAAATTTGGATTTGGTTTGATTGGCGGGAGGGGGAAGTCACCCAATGGCAGCACCCCGTGGAAAATTGAATAACTTAAAAAATTAAAAATGGACATAAGTTACTCAAACTAGTACTGTCTAGTTATATTGTACTGACAATATAACTCACAATTAAATTAATATTAAAATTATGTAATTATTATTCTTGATTTGTATAATATGTTAATTTTTGGTTTAACATAGTATTATATTATGTATTATTAATATTAAACTGTTTTCACAATGAGATATTGTAGATTAATGTACTGTGTGAACTACTGACCAATAAGTAAATCCCTTTAATTTTAAATTGTATATAAGCTATGCAGTTTTGTTGGGTAATAAATCTAGTATAAATGTATCATGTTGAAAAATACTTGTATACTATGGGGTGATTCACCAAGAATGCTAACCCCCGTTTTTTTCCAATTTAGTCTAATTCTGATTTTTGAAATTAAGTATACTAAAAATGATTTTTTTGAAAATTTTAAACTATTGATCATCTAAATCAAAATTTGAATGGGATATTTTTGAGTTATTAAAATAGATACTAAAAAATATATACCTTAAAAATAGTTTTACAAAAATATAAAATACATTTAGTATTTATTACTTATTCTTAGGCAAAATGTAGACTGTGCCAAATTATAAAATGTTGATTAAACAAACCAAATAAATTTAAATTTATCATTGTGTCCATATCTTCCAAACTCATGGACCTATTACCTTAGTATACAAAGTTTAATACCTCAATAACTATTCGTTCAATTATTGATTTAGGTACATCAACATTTTCAAAAAAGTCATAATATGATTAACAGAAAAAGGGTGAATCTTATGTTATATAGAAAAATATGTTGAACAGAACGCTTCATAAATGGGGTAAAAAATCTATGTAATTCAATACATGGTTTTTAAGAATACTAAAAATTCTAAAAATCATAATTTTAATTAATTAATTATTAAATGAAACAATGCTGGTGAGCATACTTGGTGAATCACCCTGTAATTGTATGATGGATGTTAGTCAATATTAAATGATACAAGTTGTATTTATTTTCTGTCATTTTAAACTAATTGTTTTTAATATACTTTTGTATCTGTTTTGATGTGTCTAAAATTGTGAAAAATGTTATTCAATAAAAACTGAATGTTTTTGGTTTTTTAAATAGTAACAAAAGTTGACATTATGATGTTTAGTAAATGCTCTACTTATAATCTGCTAATTATGTTAAATATTTATATATTATTTATTGTTTTAGAAAGTCGGTTTTAAGTCTGACATAGGATATCAAACAATTTTATATGGAAATATTGTAGATATGAGAAGAATATTAATGTTTTTAATTGAAAAATTACCTAAAGAAATTGAAAATATCATAGAATATAGAAGTATGTAATATATATTTATACTTATTTAATTTAATTGTTATATATTTCACGTTTATTGAAGGTTTTAAACGTTTTGGAAATTACAATTGCAGGCAAAATTCAAGTTAAGATTATTAATCAATATTTTGTATTTTTAATATTATTTGGATAAAAAAAAAAATTGTATTTAATTATTTATTAATACAACAGTGTGCTTGCTGTTATTATTGAATTGGATCCTCAGCAGATGTCCATGTCCCTATTCTCTACATTTGATTGAAAACAAATATACATTAAATATATCTAGTTTTGAAAGACACTTTTAACTTGGGTTTTTTATTTATTGTTATTCATATAATAAAATATAGTATCCCATTAAGGGGATCGGTGGCAGACAATTATTGTAGTCAAAACATATCAATCTTTATTCCATCATACTGATCGACCTAGTATAAATGCGATAATACTTTTTAAGACTGATTAGAATTTGTAATTATGTCAACTTAAGATCTTCCACTTTTCTCAATTTCAGAAACGTAGGTTATTCGGAATTTAAATCAGAAATCTTAAAATATGGAGTTACCGATCTCAAGTAGACATTATAAAAAATTCAGATCTGTTTTCTTAAAAATGATCGCATTATTAGTTCAATTGGTAGGATGGAACAAAATACATACAAATAAGCATAAATTGTTTACCGTTCACGTGCACAACGTTGAAGTGGTCAAAGATCTTATTTACTTGATTTGTTTTTCAAATCAATTTTTTTTTTACTGTACTAAAATCTAAAATATTATAAATGTTTAAAACAATTTTTTTTTTTATATTTAAACCTTTAATAACTGAAAGTAAAAATTCCCCGATTGATTACTAGTACAATATTACAACAATCTCAAAATTGTTTTCAGGAATAAAATTTCACCACCTTTAGCCCCACACTGTTGTTTCGATTTTTGTTCACCATTACTACATTTTTACATTGGTATACAATTTAATATTACAAAATAGGTACATTTCAAGCTTTAAACTTTATAAACTATAAATCTTCTGAAACTCATTCAGTTATTTTGAATTTATATTAAACTGAAATTACTGCTGATAATCTTTGATGTATATGTATTGAAATCATACTTTTAATATTCTATTCCACATAGTTAAAATTCCATATTCTATCGAAACATTTTAGAACATGAAATAATTACTAATAAATAAAACATTGCCATAAAGTCAAGATAAGTATTATACCAATAAATGTGGTTTTAAAAAAAAGTTCAAAATGTTTTTAATATCAATATAACTAATATTTGTATTGTAAGGTAGCTTGTAATAATATTTTATTTACAAATCAAAATATCATCACCTACTTGGTGTGACATATAAATATATTTGTTTTATTCTACTAGTAATATTTAGTAATATTCAATATTAACGATTTTAATTATTTTATTTAGGTAAACGATGTACAATATTAAAAAAACTCAAAAAAAGCTTATCAACTCAAAAAAAACCATTGAACTCTGCATTATTTCCAAACTATTCATATCTCTCAGTACCTTTAGAAACGGGTGTAACTGTACCAGGACATAAAAGAAACTGTACACCTGCTGGTAAGGTCAATTATTTATAAATCATATTATGATTTAAGATATTAATTTATGAAGTTATTATCTAGTTACTCCATACATAATATGCTATTCAAAAGAAAATATTTTAAAATTGTTTCCATGAAATTAATTTAAATATAATATTACTCAAAAGATACAAAGGACCAAAGGATACATCTATGTAGTAGGTATAAACTATAAATTGTGATAATGGACAACTTATTTTTTATAATATTTGTACACACGCACACGTACTAGCACATAGCATAATTTACTGTCTACCGATTTTTCTGTATACAGTGAAGTGTCATTTTAAATTTCTAAACTAATTTAAATATTTTGTTAAACAAAATTATTAACCAGTAGTAGATATTAAGGTATTTTCCTAGTCATAATATTACATGCATTAACAAAATATTTTATTTTCACAACATTGCCTATATTGTCTGTTAATGCCTAGGCATATCTTCTACTTTTTTTAGGTATTTATGATATTATTTTGGCATTTACGTTATTAAATTAATTGATGGTATTATAGAATAGAATAAATATATAGAATCAATGAGTATCAAATCATTACTTGAATGATAAAATGACAATATTTTGGATGTTAGTATAATACATTTAACTGGAATTAATTTTTCTGCGCATTAATATAAATTTTTATCTTTGAAAAACTAATAATTACAATTTACAAAATATGAATAAATTTTAACTTTGAATTCCTGATTGTATACCCTTCTTGACCTTCATATTATTTTGTCATCTCTAATCTTATCTTATGAATTTGTTCATAAGATTAATTATTGTTTATTAACAAGTGGACTGCCATGAATACCCTATCTGGTACTCACATGGTTTGTCTCCTGTGCCACGGTATTTTTATAGAGCTATCCTCATACGCCATGAGGACCAATCCTGGTATTCACACGCCATTTGACACGGAATAACCGTTTAACCTTGATAACTAATTGTTTTTTTCGTGATTTCGTCACTGAGTAAAATTATTGGTACTCAATAATCCAGAAAACAAAAAACCCTACGAGCCAAACCGAGTGAGTACCATATTTGGTACTCATGGCATATGAGGATAGTTATATAAAAATACCGTGACAGTCAACTTGTTAATTAATAATTGTTCAATAATATTACTTTATTTTTGCAATTTTAACGACAGTAGGAGAATATATTAAATAAAATTTAAAATTTGCCATTTACAAAATGCTAAAAGTTCTAAATTAAAACATTCTTTTAGTTTCTTTCTATTAAGAAAATATGATTGAATCATACTATAAAATATGGTGTGTGGTTTTCAAGATTATCTATAAACAATAATTGTTTTCTGTCAATACTATCTAAAATTATCACTGTTGGAAAAAAAAAGCATGTATTATAAAGCAGAAAAATATTTAAAGCCATTTTATTCTAATAAAATCAATATAAGCTGTACAAGAGATTCAACGAAAAACTGAAAAAACATTTGTACTGAAATTTTGAACTTTTTATTGCATATTTTTAATATTGTATTAAATTTGAATTATAATTATATTTATTATTTTATATTTTACAATATATGTATAAGTGTGTATAGTAATTTTGACGCTTGATCATTGAGTTTTTTTATAAATGTTAACATCATTATAAGAACTGTTCCACTTTACAGTGGTATTTTAAATTCTGAGAGGAGCAATATTCAAATTTTATTTATTTTTTTTTTTTTTTGCTATTATCAATACAAAATGTTTGGATGACCAAAAATCTTGAAAATGTAATACAACATTCCTTGTAAGTTGAAGTTAGTGAAAATTAAAAAAAAAAGTTGAAGGTACAAACATCAATAATTTTAAATTTAACCGATTTTATAAGTTATAATTATAGAAGCTAAAATATGCATTTGAATAATGCACAATATTTATTCTTTTTCAAACTTATTTTTCTACCACTATTTAAAGTAAAATAAAAATTCGGCCTTTGACGCGACCTAAAAAATGTTTTCTTCTATTAAATAAAAAATAAATTAACGAATCCGACTATTTTACAGGGCGTGAGAGTTTTTCCTGTAAGTAATTTTTATTGATATAATACAGCCTATCAATCCCCCTTCCCACTAAATATGTATTTATCTGTAGATTAGTGGAAAAGTATTATAATTAAAGTATTAATAAAATATAAAATAAAATTTAAAAATTGTATAGAATTTCGAAAAATTGGATAAACCAGCCCCGACACTCTTAAGTTGTTTGATAATGTTAGTCTTGGCAGAACCATTACATACTTCACTTTAATTTTATTAATAATTTAAGTACTTAACTGAATTAAAGTTGAAATTTTTTTTTTATTATTATTGGCTCATTGGACTTTGGCAATTGATAAACATATGCTTGATTCAGTGGAATAAGAAGATTCATACACTGCAATAATTGTTACTTTTTTTTATTGAGCTGCCTTTTTTGTAAATATGTTTTGAAAATGTTATTAATTAATTAATATTTTATAACATTAATAAAAAAATTGACTTACGAACATATAATTGAGTAAACTTGAGTAAACTCAATGTAAAGAATGTACAATAACAAAAATAATTTTGTTATAAAAAGTAAAATAAAATAGTACATAACCAATATAAACAATATAGCCTATCTCGTATCGGAAGGTACAGAGTGTCTCCACCAGAGTGTGTTTTGTTAGACTCTTTTACCAATTATGTACAGTAATGCTTGTACAGTTATGCTTAAATACCTCTTCTGACTTATAGTCTAAATCAAATAAAATATTTATTTGTTAAATACTGAAAAATGTTTTTACTATACGGTGTACTTTTTTTAAGTATAACCAAGACATCTGTTTATTATTGCATACTATTTAATTTTAAACTAAAGTAAATTTGCCTGCCACAGTGGAATTTTTATTATAAGTATTAATTGCATGAAATATTTTTTTTGATTTATATTTTCTTTTAATATAATTTTTCATTTGAATATTTATATATAATATATATATATATATATATGTATATATTATGATATGAATATTTCAAACTAAATTAAACTAAGAGACTCGCTTCCAAGAACAATAATATATTATTTGGTTGATTCTGTGTTTATGTCTATTGTCCAATGTGAAAATCAAATTCTTGAGTAACTGAAACAGAATTATTTTAAATTGCTTTTATAGATTGAAAGTGAAAATATTTTACACTCCCCATAGTAATTTTAAAATTATTTATACATGGTTTTACTTATTTTAACTCATTATATAATGTTGTTGAAGTATGTGTATGTTAGTATAGATTAATGTGTTTAAACAATAATATCAACTTTTAATTTTTAATTTTGTTTTATTTTGTTTTTTAGAATGGAGAAATTTTTGTATTAATAGCTTAAAATATATTACTGAACAACCATCGGATTTGAAATATTTAATTCCTTCATTGATTACACACAATACAAAAAGATTGTTGAATATTTATGAGTTTGAACTTAGAACAACAGATGATTTATCAGAGGTATATAATAATATCTAATACAATTCAGATAAAATGTCAATAAGTAAATTTAACTCCTATGTGTATTATACAAATTCCATTATAATATTATTGTGTCCATTTAAATTTAAAATATTTCAAAACATAGATATTATTATTTATTCTGTATTGGCTTGGCACGTTTGATGTTTTAAAAACATACAATAATTCTGATGAAATATGCATTAAATATTTTTATTCATTTAAATTAAAGTAATAAATATTAAAAGTTCAGAAGTCAAAACTTTTCATCTTGAATGTTGACCACTTTGAGTTTTTGTTTTTTCCTCATTTGTGGTAAATATTGATTTTGTAATAATCTAGTTAAATATTAGTTGATATAATTTTAATTCATGGCTTTCGTTTTATTTTTGTAATATCTGAAAAAGTTATTTAGTTATCATGTTTTTAATTATGAACCAACTGAAACATTCCGGATTAAAATGTCATCAGTGTCTGAGTCTTAGTAATCAAGGGTAAGCACTGAGAATCTTAGATTTATTTGTACGTTGTATCTAAATATGTATTTGTTGGTGTATCATGGTTTTTTTTCTGTGAAGATATTAGATAAAAAGCAAAATACATTTTTTTAGTAATAATAGTGTATTCAAGTATGATTTTAAATTTGACTCATATAATTTCCTTAGGTCTGATGGAATTACAAAATTAGTTAAAAACATATTTTGTAAAAATAGTTGAAACGAATTAAGAATAAAAAAAAAGAAAAGATAAATAGAACACTGATAACGGTGTTTAGTATCTCAATATGTATAGGAATAGACTAGGTAATTGTTTTTGTTTTCTGGATAGATTTAATGATTCATCGCTTAATTTGTGTAACACAAAATTTGAGATTTGTTAGTTATAACTTATTTTCTTAAAGTTTTGAAATGTTTTTCTGCATCCAGATTAAACAATTCAACTATGGCTAATAATATTATGTTTGTATTTTTAATTTTATAAAGCTTACACTTGAAGTAAGTTGCTTATACTACTTTATGATATTGTCTTGTTGTTTACTTTACAGAGTGTGTCTTATGTTGTTATAAATGTGGTTTTTTACATAACAAATTAGATAGGTATCATCACAGTTGTACTACTTAGTAGATACGCATCTCTTTTACCTCCGGCCCATGTTGTAGTTCTCCACTTCTTGATTTTGTTCTGTTTTATATGTATGTATATGATTGACAGCCAATAAGAAGTGGAGAACTACAATAAAGGCAAAGTAAAGAGCAGAGGATGAGTATCAAAATACTGTGATGATACCTATCTAATTTGTCATGCTTTTTTAATGATTATGGATCAATAATGTGGAATTTCAAAAAACTAAAAAGATTTTTATTTTTGACTGAAATTTTTATTGCAATTTCAAATTTTTATACTCGCAGTTGTACCACAGCAAAATCAACTATATTTTTTAATGGATTCTTGTAAGCCTTTTTTTTCTGAAAATGTTGATAGTCAAATTAACAATTTTGGTTTGCTAATTTTTTAATTATAGTCCTCTAAAGTTGAGTAAATTCATTAATCCTTTTAATTGAAATAATTCTTAAATTGACTTTACTAAAACTACCTAAATCATTTTTTTTTAATTTTCTTTTAATGTAATTTGATATCTTTTTATACACCTAAATCAATAATCTAATGATACATTTCACAAAGAAAAAAAAATGGGGGTAATTCCTACAAAATAGTTGGCAAACATAACTTATTATTTTTATTTTAACATACAATCATAAAATAAGCATTATTATTGTAATTTATTATTATAATCTTAGTAACCTAATTGATTACTTTACATTTTTTTCTTCTAAGCTACTTTTCTTGCAATAGCATAAATTGTGATTATTATCCAGGTTAAAGATTAAAGAACAAATTTAGGTACCTACCTATATTGGTATGGACTATTTATGTAAACATATGGTTTATTTTAAGCCATAATTACTTAATGTTGGAAATGCAATAAATTAAAATAAAAATATTGAGGAAGTCCTTGTTAAAATAAAAATAATAAACTATGTTTTCCAACTATTTTTTAGGCATTAATCTTATAATTTAATGATATTTTTTTTTTGAGTGTGTCACTAGTTTAATTTAAGTCTATAAAAAAATGAAATTGCATTAAAAGATAGTTAAAAGAAATAATGTTTCTCTAGTAAATTAAATTTATACCCATTGTTTCAATTAAAAGTATTAGGTAATGAATTTATAAAAAAATATAGTTATTTTCATATGAAAAAGTAAAGTTGACTTTGCTGTTATTACAATTAAGTGCTATAAATCTATAAATTGCTGTAGAGAAAATTGAGTTAAAAATAAAAAAACTTGTTTTATTGAAATTCCTCTTTATCCAAGCATAATCATAAAAAAACCACGCATACAACGACATAAGTATAAACTATACTAAATTAAATAAATATTATTGACCTAGCTGATTTACATGTTTTTATGTTTTTAAAATTGTATCCTATATTATTTGAAAAATGTTGAATGTATCTTATATTATCTAGAGTTAAAATTAATATATCGAGATATATAATTAATTCCTGATCATCCCTGTTGGTAATTATATGTAAATATAAAATAAATTTCCAATCACCAATTGGTAATGTTTTATACATTTTTTTTATATATATAATGTATAAATTTCATTTTGGTATTAAATTTAGAATATTGATAAATTTGTAATGTGTTTTTGTACACAAATTATTGATATATTAGTTAAATTTTATCATATACACTAGGTAATGTTAATTAAATTTTACTTAAAATGAAATAAGGTAAATTCCGTAGGTATATAATAAATTAATAAATCTGTTTTAGTCTAGAATATTCAAAGAGAAAATTGAAAAAACCAATTCTAAACAATCCGGTTATCTTAATCCTGTGGTTAAAAATGTATCTAACAATCAAGTTGAAAAAATATCAAAGGAATCTGAATCAGCATATATTGAAGAGCTAATTTCCAAAAATAACGAACTAAAAACTTTAACCCTAAAAGTAAGTAGTTTCTTTGTTAATAGTTAAAAACTTATTGTAAATATGTATCCTATGTCTATGTAGCAACATTCCACCAAAATAAATCTCATGTTGAAATTAGAAAAACTAGAAAAAGAAATTGCTGTTCAAGAAAAAAGTTTAAATATTATTGATAATCCCGAGGTTATTACTAAATTAAAAAATAAAGTTGATGCGGCACCAGATAAAATAAAAAGAATGGGCAATAAATGGAGTAAATATGAAATTGAACAGAAATTAATTTTATCAGAGCTAAACGAAGAACTAAATAAAAAACGAGTGAGTATCCAAAACAATTTCTATATTAAAATTCCTCTTTATTAGGTACATATTATAATACATAAATAACTCAGAAATATTAAAAATTTTTTTTGTATGGTAGGAAATACATACTTAAACAATTTCTCAAATGCATTCATACATACTTGAAGGTATAAGGTATATTATAAGTAATAATTAATCCAACTTGTTATTTTTTTTTTTTTTTTTTACTGATTTCCTCAAGTTATTATACATATTATTTACTGTCAGGTCTCCCGCATTAAATTATTGTCCTTTGTACTAAATTGTTTTGCGAGCCCTATACAAAACTTCCAATAAAATATAATATATTACAAGTAATACCAGTTTCCCATACACAATTTCTAAGTAATCAATGGTTAATCCACAGCTTAAAATACAATATTATAAGTATACATTTATATCATAAAATAAGTATTCCTATCAAAATTTCAATAATTACAACAGGCCCCTAAATAGGCGGGCCCCTGTACTCTACTTCCAACAGCCCACACCCCTTTCTGGGGGCCCTGCCAATTGTTAACATTATATATATAACTATCATGGTTTTGTTCATTATTATTTATTAGGTTTCTTGTTTTACATTATAAGTACATTATAAAGCATTTATATAAAAGTTTTATGTTAAACCTCTTGGTTTACAAAAATAAATTTATGCAATAAATAATTTATAACTCATTGACAGAAAAAACATTTTAGCAATCATATATATATATATATATGAATTTTGATTTTTAGGCCAAAAATATTAAACTAGAAACAGTGCATGGAAATGAAAAGTTGAAGTTACAAAATATTTTTGAAGATATACAAAAAAAAGAAGATATTATCAAAATATGTAGGAATGATTTAGACTCAAAGCCAAATTATAATTCAAGGTCTGTAAAATGTATCAAGTTAAACTAAAAATCCACTATAGTATAAGTAGAACTTAGTATAAGTAATGAACATTGTTCAAAATCCTTAATTAATAATGTTATATAGATCAAGTTATACACAAAGAATATTAGAAATTATATCTAATATTGAAAAACAGAAAAAAGAAATTAATAAAAATTTGAATGATACCAGGCAAGTTCAAAAAGAAATAAATTCTTTAGATGGTAAAGTAGAACGGTGTTTTATTTCAATTGATGAATTAATGTTTAAGGTATTTAAATATCATTAATTGTTTCTTAGCTTTTAATTTTATAATAGTTATAAATTTAATACAGGTAGCAAAAAAAGATGATATAATCCGAAAATGTTATAAACTATTAGCTGCTATTCATTCTAACAGTTCAAGCATTATAACATCTGTAAAACAAACAGGCACAATTGGAAGAGAAATTAAAGATCTAGAAGAACAGGTATTTTACATAGTTTATTTTATTATAATTATTAAATAACATATATTTATTTTTGGGTTTGGTATAATTTATAATTTATTGGATTACTTTTTTTTTCAGATTGAAAATGAAAATCCTCATCAAGCTACAGCTAATGTACAAAAACTTAGAAAAGATTTAGAGCTTGTTAAAAACGAGCAACTATTATTGTTAAAAAAAATTAAAAATTAAAACAATTAAGCTTCTTTAATGAATTCCATTCAAGTACATTTATTCAGTATATTTTGTATCAATATTGTCGAATTTGAGTAATCATCACAAACAAACTATTCACTTAATAATTATTATTCTTTGTCATTTTTATACATAAATAATATTTAAAATGTCTTTTGTAATAAAATTAATTTGTTTTATTAAAAAAATAATATTTTACGAATTTAAAAAATAAGTGAAGTTAAGCTTTAGCTTTATATGTTTCTGATTTATATTTAAATTTAATTATTAAACCTTAATCCAAAATAAAAACATTTTTCTTCTCATTTACAAAAAAAATGATTTATTTTCAAGTATTTATATAAAAAATATTTTTACTCAAAAGTTATTGAAGCAAAATGCGTTATTTCTAACAATAATTATATTTTGAAATTGTTGGCTATTAAAATTATAAATAATAACAAATAAGGTTCAAAATAATTTTAAGGAATATAAAGTCAGCTGTGCCAGATGGCTTTCCAACTACATTCCTTTACAATCTTAAGTCTTTTCTTTGTTTTCTTCTTTGGCTAATGTTAATAAGGAATTTATTAGATAAAGGCATATTTCCATGTATTTGGATGTTCAGCTCTGACAACCCGTATCAGGTTATAAATCTGGAGTCCGGAATTATTGGCCTATTTCTATTTTAAGCCATATTGGTGAGATTTTCGAAAAACTTGTGCTTCATAATATTCTGCCCTTAGAGTCTCAGACAACTCAATCCTTATTGATGTGCAATATGGTTTTAGATTCTGTTGTTCTGCTATAATTAATTAGTTAGTTATAAATAATTTTATTATTGAAGATATCAAAAATAAAAATCAATTTAATGTTATAGAATATATAGAATTGCCTATACTGAACTCCTTAAAAATGGTCGGTATCGAATCAGAGTCAGTGAATTTTAGTAAAAAAACATTAGCACCGAGTATAAGGTGTACCTAATAATTGCAATAGCCAATGGTCATGTAAATATAATTTAATCCACGTCTCGAGTCCCTGTCTATAGCTCGGAGCCATTTTTTTCTACAAAGAAAGCCGTCTCTTCTATTTATTCGGTCATCTAGGTGCATATGTGCACATGTAATGTGCTGGTAACTGGGTGTCTACTATTGTAGTAAGATAATAGACAAGTGGCTACTAGAACATTAACTTTGCAGATAGCAGACACTTCTGATGATGATGTCGTCGTGGTAGATGATTAAATAAGGTAGACAGTTGTTGTATAATGTGAATTTATTATTAGTACTTCAAACTTCAAAGTCCAAGTAATGTTATACAGAGTGGCGTGTAAGTGCTTGCTCTAATGGGTGGTCGTACACGTCTGAATACAGGCCGATTCGGGCTCCCTTATATATGAGGTTCCCCGTATCGTTCCAGCCCACGCATTCGTGATTTCAGAAGTGTGGCCGCAGTATTGTAAAGAATTCTAATAAATGTATTCAAATAACAGTATTTTTTTTATTTGAATACTATTTTAAATACTTTTTGAAAAAAATATTCTAATACGTATTATTATGCTGAACAGTTTTTTTTGTTTTTTTTTATTCATTGAAAAATACGTTTTAAAAGTTAAAAGTTGAAAGTTGATTTTTATCGTCTAAAACGAAAAAATTAACTCAATCATCCCTCCATTAGTTCAAGCACTTTCCTATGGTTACAAGTTTACATACATCAATTATTACATTACATTCAATTATTACATGTTTACATAATATGTTACAAATATTTAGTTACATTATTGTATTATATGGTACATTCCACCATATATTTCTGGTTACATTTATTAAATATTACTGAAAAAAATACAGATTACAATCCACAATATTACAATATATATTTGCTTATTATCTAGGTTAGTATCGTATGTGATTAACAATATTTCTTTTTGGTTTCACAACAATAATCTTATCTTAGTATTAATATAATATGAAATAATTCTTTAATATAATATGAATTCTTAAAATCTATTACAATATATTTTTTTTTCATGCAATATATATAATATATAATTATGATGTATTTTTCCAACACCATGTTAATAATACAAATCATAGTTCTTTTATTTATTACGTTTAACTTTTATTATTCTTATAAAATTTTATACCTAAATTTTTCTTATTTTTTTCATTTTTTTTTCTTTCATAATATATATATTTCCCATAATTTATCCTTATCTAAACATATTCTTCCTTTAAAGCTTTAATTTTGATAATTTTCAGATCCGCACCCGTGTCAACTAACAATTTAATTTGATCTTTATTGAACTGGGTGTTTTTAAAGTAATATAATTATCTACTAATTGAGTTGTGATGTGGAAAATTCGTTTTGTGGGTCTTGTACTATTTCTTGGACCAACCTCACACCCACTTGAGGTTGTCCCCTGGAGTTTTTCGAATTATTTTTCTCATTTTTCTGTTTCGTAAAACAGTTTGCAATTTCATGTCCTACCTTATTACAAAAACTGCAATGTATATTTTGTGCGCTACTACTGCCTGCACGATTATTACTATTACCGGTATTACGCGTGCAGTTGCCGCGATTACTATTATACGTATTTTGCTGTGTATTCGGCCTACCTACTGTCTGCCAACAGTCCCTTGCAAAATGATTAGATTTCCCGCATGTGCAACATCCGGTTCTAATCTGATTAGTATTATTTCGTTGAAAATTGTTATCGTTAAAATTTCGTCCATAACTATGTCCGCCGCGAAAACTTCCGTTGCGATTATTCGCGCTTGCACTATAACCGCTGCGATTATTATTGCTATATCTATTGTTATACCCATTAAAATTATTATTTCTTCTATTTTGATTTGCGTATCCGTTTCCTCCGCGATTAAACATATTATTTCTATTATTATCGTTATGCCGTTTTTCTTCGTTACTACCGTTTGTTTGTTTTTCATTATTATTTTGTTTTCGTACATTTCCCTGCAACTTTTCCATTTCTAATTTAGAATTAAATTCAAGATCTTCAACTACCGCTAGTTTAAAACATTGTTCTAAGGTTTCTGGATTCCTACTCTTTAGTACTGTATATAGATGATGTGGTAATCCTGTCATAAATATAATCATAACCTGCTTTTTAGTGTGGTTTTTAACTACAAGTGCTTCGGCCTTGGTTAGTCCCATTGTACTAGCCGCGCAGAGTTTATAATATAACTTTTCGATTCTACTAGCGAATTTCGCCACACTTTCTCCTTCGGCCATACGTGCCGTGTTTAAAGCTACTGATAGGGCCCTCTCCGATACTTTTTGTTCGAATGCCCCCTCTAATATTGATTTTATTGATCCCCGTGTTTCTAAATTTCGATATTTCGTTACTTCTAAAGCGTTCCCTGTCAACTTTGAAGTTATTATTTTTAATAATAATGGTTTATCCGCGTCCAGCAATATTTTTTAAGCGCGATCTCACAGATATTTATAAATCCGCTACCGTCTTTCTTTCCCGTGCAAACTGGTGTCATTGGTATGCTTCATCAAGATCCATTTTATTTTTCGCGTTTTTTCTAACTACTGTTTCTAATTGCACGTGAATTACGCTTGAGTCTGACCTAGTACCTGAACGACCTACGAATTGTTCACTTTTTCGTGGCGTGATACCTATCTGGTATGTTTAAACTAAGTGTTCTTACAAAATTTGCCCTAACAGCTCTTTCGGCGTTAACTATCTGTTTCCTAGTTTGTCCTAAAAATTCTTTCTTTATGGCGTCTTTTAATATTGCCGCCTGTGATTCTTTCTTAGTTTTATATTTTTTAACTTTTACTGAACTGTCCGCAGAACTAGTTTCAATATCTGAACTATCGGATTCTGTCATATATAACTAAAACATCAGGTACATATAATTTATATACATTATATTATATTAATTTTACTTATTCAAATCTATATAATAATTATACTCTAATCGTATTTAGTATTTTACTTATTCTATCCATTAATAATTCATCCCGCGTATTTAAATTACCAATAGTATTTATTTACAGGTATATACCTCCTATTATTATTTATAAACAAAGTAACACGTACCTACCATCCCCAAATTGATAATACGTATATATTATTATCCACAAAATTACCAAGACGTACTATTATACTATTACTTACAAAATAAACAACATGCACATATAATTATTCATAAAATAAATTGCGTAACGCGAGTGGTACGTCGTAAATGGATGAGTACCTATCAAATAACACGTAAAACGTTCAATCGCCTATGCTACGCGTGTTAAATTTCGTTACGGTTTATTTCCTCACCCGTTCTGCTCGCCCAGTTCCGCGATGTTTCACGAGTACGCGCTTGTACCGCGTTCGAATATTATTAAAACAATCTCCGGTTAATTACTCCGTAAATCCCTCTAATAATATTCGACTTCCTATCCCTTATTTTTCTTATTACTAATTTATTTCTTTAAATAATTTAATTTTCTAACTTACGCGCTCTAACCATTTAATTTTAAACAAAAAAAAATTAACTTTTCATTAATTATTGACAATTATTCTATAAACTTATTCGTATTAATATTACACTAAATCTTATCCTAGGTCCCCTATAATTAATTCTTTTTCAAAAACTTTTCAAACTTTTCAACTGTAAAATTCTTAGATTAGTCCCTGCTGTCTATTACCTACCATAAAATATTGAGGTCAGTCCCTGCTGCCTATCACAAAATTCCTTAGATCAGTCTACCGATGTCTATTACAAAAAAATTCCTATTTTCCCTAACAAGCTTGTTTTTTTTATTTATTTTTATTCGAATATTATTTATTATATTTTACACCTCCACCAAGTTATAAAATAAACGCTGAGTTAATAGAATCAACGCTACAATTTTATTTGCAATCTACCTATTTTCAACTTAATTAATTTACTCACAATAATGATGCTGCCACTGCTGTATTCATTTTTTCTTGTCTGTTGTCCTGTCTTTAATTTGTTGTTCGTTGATTCCGGAGTCGCCTTGGTTGA